GGGGGCGGGGAGGAGCCTCAGGGAGGTCCAGAGGGGAGCAGTCAGCCATGCAAAGGCCCTGGGGCAGCGGGAGCCCCGTTGGGGGTGGGGAGAGGTCACCGCACACGTAGGGCTGGGGCCCTGGGAGAAATGGGGGCCACTGGCGGGTGTGGAGAGAGGAGGAACAGAAGGGCCTTTCCTATTAAAGGCAAAACGAGCAGAGTGTGTTATGAACAGAAACCCGCACTGTCAGCACCCGCCCCCACCCACACCCTGGCTGAGCCTTGGCCCCAACCTACATGCATAACTGAGCCCCTGGACAGCTCCCGAGGCTTGGGGCAGGGGCTCACCGGGCAGCTGGCTCCCGAGGGGGGAGACTGGGGAAGCCGCGCCCACAGCGCCACACCCCCAGGGGGCTCCGACCTGGCCACACACTGTGGCCTGTTTTGGGGGCTCGAGGGCGGGACAAATAAGTTCACCCCCCAGGATTCCCCACCAGGTGTCGCCTGGGGCTGAGCCATGGCTGGCAGGCTGGCCGGACACAGATGGACAGTGGACAGACGGACCTCCCCATCCTTCCCCCCCCATCTCTCGGTCTCTGCCCCACCCTCGGGGCTACCCCCCATTACTCCCCTCTCAGAAGACACTCTGCCTGGGCGGCTCTCACTCTGTCTCTGTCTCTCTGTCTCTCTGTTTCTGTCTGTATCTCTGTCTCTGTCTCTCTATCCTCTGACTCCCCTGAGCCCTGTCCTCCATTTCCCGATGGCTACGCTGATGTCCCCCAGCACAGCCTGAGTGGGGTCTGGCCGTCTCTGCTGTCTGACCCATGGTGCGCACTTTCTGGCTCTTCCGCAAACAGCTCAAAAAGCCTTGAGTCCTCAACTCAGGACGGCAGCAGGGCTGGTCCTGGGGGTGGGGGGCTCACGAGCTGCCATCCCAGCAAAATCAACTCGAACTTTCTGCAGGTCCCAGGGAAGGTGTCCGTGTCCAGTGACCAGTGCGGGAGCATCAGGGTGAGTGGCCCCCATGCCCCCATCAATGTGGGGGACCCCTTGTGGGCTCAGAGACCTGCAGGCACCCCGCCTGTGCCCCCACCTCAGCTTCTGCGTCAGGCTGAGGTGCTGAGACACCAAGTAGGTGGGAGGGCTCTGCGGTCTGAGCCGTCCCGCCCTGAAGCCCGGGCACCTTGGCTGGTGCCCCTAGGGCTGGGGCCTGTGGAGGTGCCCTCGGGAGGCCCCCACCGCCCCCCACCTGGCCCCCTACCCACCGATTTCATGCCCAATGTCTGGGAGCACTTCCCTTGGGCCCAGAGACAGGGGTGTCGGGGTCAGGGGCCAGGACAGAAGCAAGCGAAGCAACATCCCCCAAACTGAGTTCCCCACCTGGGCCCCAGACCCAGTGACTGGAATCGAGCACCTTCGATGGAGGGGCCTGGCCTGTGCGGGGCCAAGGGTGGCGGGCGAGCCCCGAGACGGTGCGGACCTTGGGAGGCCACGTGGCTCAGGGACGCCCTGGGCTCCTAGGGAGGGCTCCTGTCCTCCACCTGGCGCCCAGCCCAGCCCACCCCGGACAAGGCCAGAGCTGCTGCCCCACACTTGCCCTCTCCCGGCCTCTCCAGCCCTTCTGACCCAGGCGCTGGATGGGCAACTGAGGCTGGGCGGTTGACATGCCCCTGGGGCACAGCCCACCTGTGGCCTAGCTGCCGACTCAGCCTCATACACCCGCCCCTGCTCTGGGCCTTGGTTTCCGCACCTGGAACGATGTTCTCACTGCCCTCACGCACAGGGGAAGGTCGCTCAGATGGTTCTGGAAAAGGTCGTGGCCTCCAGCTTGCAGCCAGCCCCCAGCCAGACCTCACAGCTCGCAGGCCCGCTCCCCCAACACCCTGCCTGAGGCCCACCCAGGAGTGGTGAGGTGCCTCCCCCACCCATGACGACCCATCCACCCAGGGCCTGCCTGTGGGCCAGCCCCTGACTGCGCTGCGCCCCGCTCTGGGCGGGCCTCCGCCGGGTCCTCTGGGGCAGCCCCGGGGCCGGCAACAGGAAAAGCTGGGCTAGGGTTGACCCCGCGTGAGGAGCCCGGGAGCACGGGAGCGGGTCCCCGCCGTCAGGCCCAGGAGGACTCGGGGCCGCGCAGAGTGAGCCCCGTCCCGGTGAGCCCGTGTGGCAGGCGTGCACCCTGGGGTGCGGGGACCCTGGCGGCCTGTGCCCCTCCCGCCGGACCACCCCAGGGTCTGCGCTAGAGCTGCAGGGGAGGGGGGCGAGGGGCCCCGGCGGCAGCACCGCGCCCCCGACCCGCGCGCGCACCTTGTCGCGGATGCCCTGGCGCACGGCCTCGCGCGCGGCCTCCATCCTGGCGAACTTGGCCTTGCGCTCCTCCTCCTCCTGCCGCAGCGCCTCCTGCCGCTCCTCCTCCTTCTTGGCGGCGTCAGGGTCCTTCTCCTCGTCGCCCCCGAGCATCTTGCCCACGTCCTTGGTGGCCCCTGGGCGCAGGGGGGCGGCAGTCAGGCCGGGCCCGCCCTCTCCCCGCCCCGCTCCCGGCCAGCAGGGCGGCGGCCTCAGGCCTCTGGGCCGCGGCTGCGTGCGCGGCGGTGCGTGCGCGTGAGCTCCTGGGGTGGAGCGTGTGTGTCTGCCGGTGTCTGAGGGCAGCTGTGCGTGTGCGCGCGCGCGCGCGCGTCTTCTCCGGGCCCGAGTGCAGCAGAGGCTCAGCCTCCCCAAGGGGGCAGCGTGGCTGAGAGCACGGCTGTGTGGGCTGAGGCGCCAGGGACAGGCGCCAGGCGTCTGGCGGGCTCTCGGTCACTGGGCAGGGCTGGGGGCCGGCCTTGGCCCAGAACTGCTGGCAGCTGCATGTGGCAGCACCAAGGCCATAATTTCTCTGCCTCGCCAGCTCCACTTTTCTCGTGAGCTCCTGGCTCACAGGCGACAACAAACACCTTCCCGGATGCCCTCTCCGGCTCGGCCCCCGGGACAGACATGCGTAATTACTGCCTCAGAGCGTGGTCCTGGCCCGCGGTGGCCCCAGCCCCACTGCACCCGGGTGCACGGGCGTCATGGGGAGGGGAGAGCAGTGGTTAGCGCGCCCAGCCCCTGCGGCCAGTCCCCCAGAAGCGCCCCGCACATACCCACACACGGCCGATAGGCGTGAGGCCAGCGCCCCGTCACCCCTGCACACCCCCTGGGAACCAGCCACGCTCCTGAGCGGACCCCGGGCCAGGTTGCTGCCCTGTGACCGCCGTCCTGTCCCCCGCCTCTCCAGCCACCGGTCTCTGCAGGTCCCGCCTCTGTCCTCTCATCCCGTGATGGTTCCTCCCAAGCGCGGCCCAAGGCTAGCTGAGTCCGCGCCTCGGGAACAAGCCGCGAGGTGGGTGTGTGGCTGCTGACACCACCACCCCTCTACGCCCATATCCAGGGGTGCCCCCTTCCCCGCCCTGGCTTCGGGGCCCGGCTCTGTCCTGCCCGCTTCTCTCGGAGTCTCCACTGCGCTGTCCTCAGTGCTCCAGCGACTCCTGTTCTGTTCTGAGGCTGCACAGGTCCGTGCGGCACGGAACCTGGAGAGACTCCCTGCCCTGCAGACACCTGCACCAATGATGCATCTGCCGGTTCCTCAGGAGTGACACCCCTCCGCCGTGTGGGCAGAGGGAACCATTTGGTGGGTTGAGTGCTCTGGGCTGAAAACTAGACGTCCGTGGGCCGGGCCACGCCTGCACCACGTGGGCCTTCCTAGCTGCTGAAACTACTACAGGGTCGCAGGGTAGTTGCCACCACAGTCACTGCAGCAGGGATGGGGAGCCCGCCTGGATGGGGCTCGGCCGATGGCGCAGATACAGACGCTAACAGAAAACCAAGAGCCTCACGTCAGTTTCTACCCACATCTGCAGAATTCTGCAAAGGAGATTTCAAGCCAGTGGCTCAAGGAAACTGGTCACGTGCAGGGCTGCTGATACACTGTCTCATCGCTCCCTGGACGAGGGGCCGGCATCTCCCCACCTCTGGGGCCGCCGTCCCCAGCAGGCGGTGGGGGAAGCAGGGGCCAAGCCACAGTCCGCGAGCAACTGCCACCTTCCCAGCCTCCCTGGCCGGCGGGCCAGCTTCTACGCAAATCTCCCCCTTGAACAAGCTCGTTCACGCTAAAGTGAGAGTGACTGATAGCTCTTTCTGCCCCCTGGAGAGTACTGGCATCTTAAGGCAGAGGTGGGTGAACCAGTCTCGTCTACATCTCTCTCCCAAGAGGGAAAGTGGGTGGAGGCTGGGGTGGGGGCTGGAGGGGCCTCCCTGCCTGGGTGGTCTGGGGCCCCAGACCTGCTCCTCCAACGTGCTGTGTGGGCTCTGGGCCTAGTGGTCCAACAGGCGTTTACTGAGCACCCGCTGTGTGCTGAGCTCTGCACACCAGGAGCCCCACCCCAGACCAGGGGTCTGGCCCTGCCCCCACTGGAGCGCTGGGCTGCGCCCCCCCCCCCAGAGGCAGAGAGGGCCCGGGGGGAGCTACCGCAGCACGCGGAGGGGACTCTGGAGGCCGATGGTCTCTCCACGGCCAGGGCGGGGCACCCATGCTCACTCGACCGCGGTGTGGACGCCCCGGCACCAAGATCGGCACCGACGCTGCGGGCCCTCCCCCGCGGCCCCCGCCCTTCGCCCGACCCCGCCTCCGCACGCGGCCCCCGCACCGTCCCCACACGGTGCCCAAGGCTGGACCGAGAGCCGCAGCCCAAGCCTCCTGAATCCCAGGCGGGGGTCCCGCAGCCGGCCGCGCCGGCCACGTAGAGGTGTGGGCACAGGGGCTGACCCCACCGCTGCCCTGGCTCTTCTCGGAGCCTCAGCTTGCCGGTGACTAGCGGGGAGGGGGGCGCCGGGGCGGGGGCGGCGGGTCCCAGCCCTCCTTGACAATCAGTCAAAGCCCCAGGGACGACCTCAGTGCAGGATGAGGTGGCGGCACCTCTCTAACCCTGGAGTAGGTCCCATGCTAGGGTGCGGGTTACGCAGAAACCCAACAGCTAGGGAGAGCTTTCTAGAACAGCGTTAGCGGGGTGCCCGCACAGGGGGAGACGGGGTCTGCCCACACCCCGGCCTGTGGATGGTGGACAGGAGCTGGCCCGGGCCTGCCCTGGCCTCCGCCTGCCGCAGCTCTGCCCCGTCCCTCACGGCCCCCAGGTCCTCCTCCCTCCCTGACGTAATACCCACCCCGACTCTGTAGGAGATGCTAAGATGCTAAGATTTCTCTGCAGGCCTGCGGGGGGTGGGGGGGCGGGGGGCGACGTGGAGTGAGGGGCCGCGATGCTCCTACCTCAGGGCCTTTGCACCTGCCGTTCTTCCTTGTGCTGAATTCCCGAGCCTCCTCCTACTTGCTCCCAACCCAGGGTCTTTCTAGACAGGTTTTCCTGGGGCTCCTTGTGTGCACTGGTGGCCCCTGTGGTCAAAACCCTTCTCAGCACTCACCACCTTGGCTGCATCCGATTACGCTGCCTCATACATGATGGAAACGACGTCTATTTAAACAGTACGTAAATTAAAGCTGATCCCTAAAACTTCAGTTTGAAATAATTGTAGGTTTACAGAAGAGTCACGCAGGTAGTCCAAGGGCTCCTGAACGCCAGTGGCCAGCATCACCCCGTGTTGACCCTGGTACGTTCATCAAAGCGAAAATAACCTACACTGTGCCGTCAACCAAACCACAGGCTGTATTCAGATGTCACCACTTTTTCCACTAATGTCCTTTTTCTGTTCCAGGATCCAATCCAGGGTACCATGTTGCATTTAGACAAAAGTCAATTTTTTAAAAGAGAAAAATACTTTTTAAACTTGAACTAAAACTATGGGGAAAATTATGAAATTTAATGAAAAACTAAAAAACACCTAAATAAAGAAAGATACTTGTTACGCTTATGGATGGGGAGACTCCGTAATGTAATGTCTGTTCTCCACAAACTGAGTCACAGATCTGTGCAATCGCACTCAGACTCTCAAGAGCTAGAAAGGGGGGCTTCCCTGGTGGCGCAGTGGCTGAGAATCCGCCTGCCAATGCAGGGGACACGGGTTCGAGCCCTGGTCCGGGAGGATCCCACATGCCGCGGAGCAACTAGGCCCGTGAGCCACAACTACTGAGCCTGCGCGTCTGGAGCTTGTGCTCCGCAACAAGAGAGGCCGCAACAGTGAGAGGCCCGCGCACCACGATGAGGAGTGGCCCTTGCTCGCTGCAACTGGAGAAAGCCCTCGCACAGAAACGAAGACCCAACACAGCCAAAAATAAATAAATTAATTTTTTTAAAAAAAAGAGCTAGAAAGGAAATTCTGTGACAGTTGGCAAGTGAAGAGTGTTGCATAAAGAAATGCGAAGGCCCCTGGTCAGGAGACACGGCAGGGAGCAGAGGAGGTGAGCCTCCTGCCAGGAGGGGCCGCCATGCGTGGGACATAGCGTGCAGTTCTGCAGGGGAGGGAGGCAGAGTGACTGAGTGGACAGACTGCCTGCAGACCCAGGGGCTCAGACACATGGCCAGTGACAGGAGGGGCTCAGAACCCTGGAGAAGAGAACCATATTTCCCTGGGGTGATTGAGCTCCTTGTGAGAAGCATGAAACTAGACCCTCACGTGACGCCACCAATTTTTATTGATTATCAATCTGAATATGACCCCAAAATAAGGTGGGCAAAGAAAAACAGCCCTCACCACCCGCCGTCCCATCACCCAGCTTTATGGTCCTACACAGCCCGTCTCATTACCTGAAGTGACACTGTATGCCTGCTTGCTTCTTTGTGTCAGTCTCTGCCAACAGAAGGTAAGCGCCTTGAGAGCAGGGACCCTGACCAGCGCATGGCTGTCCTCCCAACACCTGCAACAGTGCCTGGCACATAGTAGGTGCTCAGCAAATATTTGGCAAATGATGAGTTTTAAACATTTAACAGCTATGTATTATGTACTCGGCCACAAACAAAACCTCAGCAAACCCTTCAGCTAACATCATAGTCTGTGAAATACTGAACACTTTCCTCAACTCAGTAACGAGCAAAGGATGCTCCCAATCCCCTTGTACTGGAGGGTCTGGCCATTGCACTAAGACAAGAAAAGAAAGAGAAGGCATGAAGGTTGAAAAGGAAGAAGTAAAACTGTCTTTGTTAACAAACAACATATCATCTGTGCAGAAAAGCCGAAGGAATCTATAAAACCACAACTAGAACAAATAAGTGAATCAAGCAAGGTCATAAGATTAATAAACAACAAACAAATGGATTGTTATATATTAGCAGCTAACAACTGGAAAATGAAATTTTAAAACAATTCCAGGGCTTCCCTGGTGGCACAGTGGTTGAGAGTCCGCCTGCCAATGCAGGGGATGCAGGTTCAATCCCTGGTCCAGGAGGATCCCGCAAGCCGCGGAGTGGCGGGGCCTGTGCACCACAACTACGCTCTGGAGCCTGAGAGCCACAACTGCTGAGGCCCACGTGCCTGGAGCCCGTGCTTCGCAGCAGGAGAGGAGACCTCAACGAGTGGT